TGGACATGCACTTAGGTGCCATAAGGGTAACCTTCTGTAACAACTGCTTGTTATACATAGTGCCTGCACTTTATGATTGGGTCTCCTTTCAGGAATTCCTATTTCCATCCTTGTACTGCATTTGAACTTAACCACAGGGTTTCGTGTTCAATTACAGGCTCCTTATTAGGTTACAGAAGCTAAAATCTTTCAATTTGCCTCTAGCCGGACTTAAACCGTTGACCTTGACTGTGGAGAGTATGAGAGCTTAACCGCTAAGCTATGGGACCCACACCCTCAAGGTTTTATAATTAAATTCATTATATCAAGGTTAATTTATTAATAAAAAATTTTAGCTAAAAAAAATCTTCATTATAATGCTATATTTAGTTTATTGAGATTCATTATATTGAGATTATATTGTATTTAATTTATGTAAGCATGAAGTATATAAGTTTTTATTATTCAATATACAAACAAATATGGCTTCTTTTTTGTTAATAATATCAAAAATATTATTATTGGTATAAACATTTTTTAAGTTAAAATTCAAATACTTAAAGAACCAGGAAGTACTAGTATTATTGTGCTTTGTAAAATAAGAATTTTAAAGAATCTGAAGTATTAGTAGCATTTTGCCCTATATAATAAAATTCTAATATATAATTTTAGCAAATAACAAGTAGATCACATAAGTCTAATTGAGTCTAATTGGTATATAACACCTGTTATGCAACATGCATTTACTATGAAAAAGAAAAATAATATATATTTAACTACTACTATTTATAGTATTACAAAAAAAATTAAACTTTAATATTTATCTATTAAGTTAATTTAATTTGAAGTTTTTCTGCTTTATAATTAACTGAAAAACTATTTGCATTGTAATAAATTTTTTAATTTTCAAATTCAAGAATTTGAATAATTGCTGATTTTTGACTAACACTATTGCCATTATCTTTTAAAGTTTTGTAAAAGAATTCTGTTACTTGCAGATGGTTTTTTTTAACTGCATTATATGAAAAAGATTTTAATTCCTATTTTTTATGTTTTTTCATAAATTCATGAATATGATAAACAAAAATATGAATATTGAGTATAAGGTTATTGAGTCAATATAAACTTTAAACAAGATTATTCAATATTCTAGTAGATGGTGTGAAAAATAACTTTAACTAGTTTTTTATACTTTTTTTAAACTTATTTAGATCTGTTATTAGATTACATATTACTATATATAAATTATAAAACTTATTCTATAATCTTTTAATTATTTTTGCACTTGATAGTAGTAATATTTTGATAAGATCAAAAAATTGAAGTACTTTTAACTTGTCTTTACCTATTAGTGATATATAATTCTAATTTTGTGATTCTTGCTAAAACTTGAAATATACATTAATCTTTTTCATTTTATTAATTATAATTTCTTATGCAATATTATTATAAAAACTATTTTTTTCAATTTCATGCAAAACTAATGCCTAAAGTTAATCAGTTATATGCAACATTATATGAAGCTTATCTAGAATACAATAATCTAATAAAATTATATCAAATAGTAATAAAAATTAGTACCCATTATATATATTAAAATTTTGTTTTAACTGATATATTTTTTTTAATATAGTTCATTTTTGATTATAATTAGCTACTTGCTTTTTAGAAATTATACATCATGAACAAAAATAATTACTATTTGCTACATTAAACACAAAACTAATAACAAAAAACTTTCAGTTTAAGCTAAAATACAAGTTAAAGCACTAGTTAATTTTATTAATTATTAATTCTTTTTTTGTTAATTCATGTAATTCATTTTGAAGTAAAGTTGTTGCAATATCTAAAAATTTATAATTCTCAAATCTAGAATATAAAATAATTATATAATAATGATCAAAATTATATATATTATTATTATTATCTAAAACTGCAAAAGTAATCATAATATGCTTTACTTTTTTATCTACATTTCTGCCATTATCTAAAATTCTTAAATTAATAACTGGTTGTTGAGGATTAAAAATTTCTTTTTCTACTAAATTTGAAACTATATATTTTAATATATCTTTTATACTTCTTTGAGCACTTTTGCCAATTGAACTAACTATTTTACTAATTATTTCTAAATTATTAATATTAGAATATTCATCATAATCTATTTTGGTAAACAATGGCATTTTAATTATTATAATTTTAACTTTGTGTTCTATTTTTACATTAATTTGTGCTTTACGATCAGCAATCATCTATTTACATAATACAGTCACACCCCCCTAAGTGCACGCCCCCTAAGTGCAAACCCTCTCTATATGCAAGCCATAGCTTGGTCCCGAGCTCGGGACTTAAACACCCTCAATATTCTGCATATGCACAAAATTCTGAGGTTCTAAGTATAGATATGCACTCCCGTAAATGCATACACGTGCCTAACCTTAAAATTGGCCAATAATAATGCTGCATTATATTCTTTAACACGAGCAAACCTGTTAGTGCATTCTATACTTTGCGTAACAGGAGGAACCATACCTAAAAATAGAAATATGTTACACAATTGATTAACCTCGTAATTTATACATTTTAAAGTACTTTTTCACGAGGCTTGTGTAGCCAATTCTCCCTATAAACGTAATTACGTCCAAAGTTAAACTTGAAGCTTTTTGCACCGTATTTTAATAATATGGGTTGAATCCACCAACTTTTATATGATGATTTGCCCTTCGAAGATGTATAAGTAAGTAATTTATGAAATACTGCACTACAAATTTCAGACGTTGGGCAATAAAAACCAATAAAAAAAAGTTAGAAGCACAATTTAATAAAGTAGCGTGGGTTTGAGTGTTAGTTTGTATGATCTTTTTTTATACTTTTTCTAAGGAGTTTTTAAAAGCTTAACTAACTATATATCGTTTTTATATTTTTTATAAGATAGAATCGAAAATATGTATAAGTATAAAACTTTAGAACTTTTATTAGAACAACTGTCATATTACTGTAATAGAGAGACCACGACTTCAGATTTTAAATGATAAAAGGTTATTAAAAAGATCGTGATGCCTGAGTTGTAGATTTTTAGATGATATACGAAAGATTATTTAGATAATTCGACATGAATTCGTCAAATAGATAATGATAATTCGATGTAAACTCGTCAATTAGTTATTAAATAAACAAAATAATAGATATGCTTACCTACTTCACAAAAATATAATACATTTATTATAATCTTTGAATTTATTGCGATTCGAATTTCACTTCGATTTTGTATTTTCTATCTTTTAAACCCCATGATTTGATTGGTTCCTCCTGTACTTACTACACATATCTGAATTTTACTTTTTTTTTATAAGCAAGCAAAAAAAAAATCTTAGATCTTTATTGATCTTTATTCGATTGAACGTTACATTACCATGCTTATATTCGTTATATGATACTTCATTCGATATAAGCTCTATCTTTAGCTTTTCCTTTACGTCCAACATTACGTCTAAATGCTTCTTGATTAGTAGAAATATCCAATTTTCATTATATCTATCCCATTCAAATATATCATTAGTCTATTTAAATTGACTACTTTTACTATTGACATCCTTATCAACATATTTATGCATCTTGAAAACTATTTCCATTATTTTCCACAAAAAATTGGTCAATTTTGCTTTGTTGCATTTGGCCCACCTTCGTTTTGTTAATAAATTTTTCAATTTTTTTTAGGATATTGATATGTTCTTCGGTACCATTCTGCTGGAGCAAAAACGTACGTATGGTTTCCAAGCTTGTATTCGCCATATTGACGCTGACAATAGGGATTTCAAAGCTATCATCTTCGTCTTCAAAGTCAACAATTGTTGGGTCATTAGTTCTGAACGTTTCAACAAGCTCTGCAATAACGTGATCATCTGAAGGAACTTCATAAACGATGTTTTCTTCAGGAATTGCCAAAAACTCCTCAACTTGCATAGGGTAAGGAAGATTAAGAGCTTCAAGTGCGTTCACAATATCATTGAGCACAGGGTCCGTGGTTTGGCAAAAATCTTCTGAATGGGAATTGGTATCGGTGGTATCTGCAACAAGAATTTTTGTATGGTACCAACAATTTCGAATTGTATTAATACTAACTTCATCCCAACTTTGAATGATAAAATGGAAAGCTTGTAACACATCCATTTTTAAATCTTCTGCACGCTGTCCCTTTTCGATTTCTTGTAGCATCCAACTTAAAAAAAAAGTAATTATGTAAGTGTAACATCTAATTTGATTTTTCTTTTGTATATGTTGTAAGTGGAAACGGAATTTGAGTAGAAACGGAAGTTATATATAAAACCCTCATTTGGAGGTTGATTTTATCATATGTATATCCTAATCTAAATTAACTAGAAAATTCCAAGTCCACTTAAATTCCATTCCCACTTACAACATATACAAGAATTTTTTTTATTTTTTTTTTTAAAAAAACCAAAAGCTTACCGAACATGAAGGCGACGATAATGTCTCTTAAAGCTCATAATGATTCCAGCATCCATGGGTTGAATCCTTGAAGTTGTGTTTGGAGGCAAAAATGAGATATCAGTAAATCGGAGAGTAACACCGTCAATATCGTGGCTAGTGCAATTGTCAAGAAGTAAGAGTACACGTTGGCCTTGATACTTAAGACCAACTTGACGGTCAAATTCCTTAAGCCACTCTTGGAAGATGGATGTAATCATCCAAGCTTTAGCACTGTTTCTGTATTTTATAGGTAAATTATTAATCCTGATGTTTTTGAAGCAGCGCGGTTTCTTGGGTTTTCCAATTACAAGAGGATTCATTTTATGTGAACCATCAGCGTTAGCACAAAGTGCAATGGTAAGACGTTCTTTATTTATTTTACGTCCGGAAAGACGTTGAGTCGCCAATGTTCTATCAGGTTCCAACCTTAAATTTTAATAATGTAGTAGTGTAATTAAAAAAAAAAAAAAAAAAAAAAAAATCTATAACGGAGTTTATAAAATAAGGGTTTATACCGATAGAAAAGACCAGTC